AGGTTGCAGCGTGGCCCGTTGCTCCTGCGGCCGTCCGCGCTTCCTCATGCTTCTCTGGCGACGCACTTCCTTTCTCCGTCGCAATCGTCGCCGTGTCCGCACTGTCGGGTGGTAACACCAGTCTGCGTGCCTTCTGCTTCGACCGGCTGTATGACTCGTACAGCGGCCGCGGTCGAATGGGAGCAGAGGGTTCTTGATGCTGCTCCTCTTCGGACTCTTCTCTCCATCGCCGCTTCCGCGGCACTCGTGCTGCAGGAGTGTTTCTCCCTTCGTCCCTCCGCCTTGATGGGGTAGAAGTCGGTGACTCCTCTGCATCAGTGTCGACCTCATTCTCCCGCACATACTTCCCGGGATGGTCGACGGACAATGGCGGAAAATGCTCAAGCTCCGCCGCTGTCAAACAATTCCGTTGTCGATAGAAATTGATGAGGAAAGGAGAAAGATGGTTTAGAGTTCCCCCCTTCTCCTCAAAAGCGTGCTGTCGCATCACCCTGTGCAGGATGCTCGCCCAGTGAATTGGAGTTCCCTCGATGACGCACTCCACAAAAGAGACCTGCCACAATGTGATGTAGCAGGCGCGGTGTGGCTGCAGTAATTGCATCAGCGCCGCGGACAAAGTCCGGCGAAATCGATCCTTGTAATCACGGGTCCTGTACCCATTCTTGGTAGACCTCCCGGTCTTGAACAGCTCCACAAATTGCGCCTCTTCCTGCTTGGTCACCTTGATGCTCTCACTGTCGAAAAGGAGATGCCCTGGCATGCCAGCACATCTTCCCAACGCCTGCGCCCAATCTTGGACTGTCCACCGATCAACATGCGGACGCAATCCGCGCGAGGGTGGTCCCTGTGGCTCTAGCCACTCGCGCACCATATTCGCACAGATGTAGTTCCATCCCCATAGCAAGAAATCGAGCTTTCTTGCTATTAAGCGCTCCTCGAAAGCGCGCAGCCCGTTCTGTGGTAGGCGAAGTGGCACCATCCGCAATCTGCCCGGCCTCGTCATTGCGTTCCTGGGGTTCGCTCGCCCGCTCATTCTACTTCCGCACCGCCCGAGCTCCTTTCTCTCTCGGCAAACTCTAATCGCCCTTAATTCCAAATCACGCGCATTCACTTCTCCCTCAATCAACAAGAAATCTCCTGTGCGGCGACGTCGAGAATGTTTAGCAGCCAGCAGATGGATGCGCGCAGCGCACACAAGAGATTGGAATCGCGAATTCAAGAATGGGACGTTCTCCGCCGCCCGGTCGAAGGTCATGGTCGGCTCTTGCTCGTGGAGAACGTCTCACTTGATGGCCGCGCCGGCTCTACGCTGGAACGGTCTCCGCTCTCACGCGCGGCTTCACGCTCCGCCGTCGCCGATTAAACTCTCACGCTCGAATTGGCGGATTTGAACTCCGCGAGCGTATTACCCCGCGGACATGGGGGCGTAGCGCCGAAGGCGAGTTTTCCGCCTTGCGCGGTACACTTGTTCGTACCGCCCCTCGGCCAATCCCCCTCTGCCTTGACGCGTGTGTCCGCATGTCGGACAAAAGTTCAACTCCTGCCTCTGCGCAGGCAGACTCCTCGGCGGATTCTCCGCCGGCGCGGAATTTCATCCTCCTGTGCACAGGCGCTCGCCTGTGCGCAGGCGAATTCCGTGCGCGGCGTCGCGCTGGCGCGGAAGGCGTTGACCGTGGTCAGCCGTCTCCGTCCAGTCTGTCCGTTTCTTGTCTCTTCGTCGGCGCTTCCGCCGCCGCAACTCCGTCCGTCCAAGAGCGCATCCACCCGTCCCGTCCGCATGGTCCGTACAGATTTGATTACTCTGGCGGTTCTTCCGTCGTACGCGGCGCTGCGCTGGCGCGGAAGGCGCCGTACACTTTCTACCTCACAAGGCGCATTTCTAGGGCCCAAGGCGGATTTTCCGCCGACGCCGAAGCGCCTGTGCACAGGCGAACGCCTGTGCGTAGGCGGACTTCGCGCCTCCCCAAACCCTACTTCGCCTGTGCACAGGCGAACGCCTTCGTCCGCGCATAGGACAAAACTTGATTCCCCCCTTCCGCGTAGGCGGAATTCCCGCCGGTGGCGAACTCCTTCCGCCGAAGGCGACCGTCTCCGTATCTTCCAATAGTGATAACTCCCTAAGTCCTCATCCGTTCCAAGCGTTCTTGGACTCGTTGGAATCAGTGCGTCGAGCTCTTTCCAACGAGACCCTAACTTGGTCAAGGCGCCCGAGGGTTGACCTAATTATGGAGGATTTCCCTACCGCCGCGGACGCAACCTCCGAAGGCGGGTTTTGCGCCTTGCGTCGTAGGGGTCCTAACTGCAGAGCTCGCAGGGAGGGTGGTGCCTGTCCTTACTGCTGCACCCCAAATCCTAGATTCTACAAGATCCCTCGAGAATCCCCGCGATCTTCCGGATTCACTCCGTTTTGATGTACCGAAGGCTATTTAAATGCTGCCAGGGTACAGTTTTCCAAAAATGTTTTAATTTCCTCAAAAATTGCCAAAAGTGGGGTACCACACTTGGTCTATTTACCATTTACCAAACCTTGTTAAGATAAGGGGATGCTAAAAGATTACAACAAGGAGCGAACGCAAATTGTTGCTCCAGCTCCTCACCGAGTAAGAAATAATCCTTGCATGTCATTCCTAACATTTGAGTTGCTTGCAAACTTATCAGATACTAGTAGCATTTTCAATCGTTTAAAGATTGAATACACCGGCACTCCTTGCTTAAAACGCTATATAAGAAAGAACTACTATGCAATGTTGGGACTTTTCTGCAGTGTTGTTGTTTCCACCCTAAGGCTCGAGTCTGAGAGAGAAGTAGAGTAAGAACACAAGTGTGAGATCCTCCATAGAGGCATCTGCGTTCTTCAGAGTAATGATTGAGGGCATGTAGAGGGTAAGCAATCATTGATCTCTTGATATATTGCAATTCCATGAACTTCACCATCATCAAAGTCATATCTAATACGAAAACTTTTAGTTTATTCACAGTACAACACAAGGCCCGTTCTTGCTGTAAATTGGATTACTTTCTTCTCCATCTGGCTCTAGACTGGCGTGATCAAAGTAAACTCTACTGGGTATAGCCATACGGGTTTAAATCATCTGATTCATCTCGGGCTGAAATTTAGTAAATTAATACGTAGCTGTTTCGCTTCAAAGAAATCAACCCTCCAACCCTTGTAACCTGAGTTCAAGTTTAGTCCCGTGAGATATATCTTTTAATCTTGGCCAACGGTGGTAGCATCCACGAAGTCTTACACCTCCGGAGACGTTTTATCATTTTGCTCTTGCCCCAATGTGCTGGTTCATGCAAGGTCTAATGTTTTAGCATTCCAATGTCCTTGATGAACCTCGAAGTTCAAAGTGACTTTCCATTCCATTTTCTACAGATAGTTCAGATACATGTAGACAAAGAAACTCTAGTTTCGCGCGACGACAAGCTGTCAACGATGAATAGATAAAAGCAGCACGGCAAGGTCGGCAGTAAAGGAGGCATTTGGATATCAAGTCATTTGCAGTGCCAGATTTGGCACTGGAGCATGCAAGCAACGTAAACAACTAACCAAACACGGTAAACTTCACGATCACATAGTGAATGCACTTGCTATCAGTGAAACTTGCACGTGTTGAGTTCTTGTGTATTTTTAGTTAACAAAAATCTGCTTTCACAAGCTTTATAATTCCAGAGGTAACACCCAGCGATAATAAACAGTACAGTGTAATACCAGGGGTTGCACTAAAGGATAGGTGACTCTTATTCAGCTCACGATATGAGGTTTCAATACTCAGATACAGAAGACTATTTAACTCGTTCTTCTTCAACTTGGTTTTCATTTTTCTTCCCTTGTGATTAAACCACATCGATTTAATGGCGGTTTTTGTTTTCATTCAGTATGCATTATATGATACATCTTTAAGAAAATCAACAATGAAAATTCTTTATATGTCATAATACTAAATTAGGTACCGAAATTAATTTATAACACTGAAATCATGTTACATTTGTTTTAAAAAGTTCATCCCATCAAAAATTTAATATACTCTAGTGAGCAGGGACAAGTAATCATCGAAGTCGGTAGTCATAGCTACGGGCAGGATTCCTCTATCAATTCACCGTGCCAAAGGGTTCAGGGTACCCTAAACCGATAACCGTGAAATCTCTCTTTACTCGAAATTTCCAAAACCGAATCAAAATGCAGCCGGCCAATTCATTGGTTTCTCCGATTTGAGATCGCGTCCGGTCAAGCACGGAATAAAATACATATATCAGATGATTTATCGAAATCTTCTTCCAGGAATAAAGAACTTGAATGTTGTTCAGCACAAGCATGGATATCTGTGTATAACTCTCCAATCACTCGTCACAATGTTGGCGTTCATTGTCTATTTAACTGTAAAGAACTTCTCCCATCCGAATACGGTCCAAGTGCTTATTATTTGGTAGCCGTTTAAGAACCAAGCAAAAACCCTTAAACCTCGACGTCGATCATCAAATCTTGTGCAAGCGGATCAACGACTGTTCTCAGACTAGTACTGTATTAGTTGATTTCAACCATGTCCGGTCTGAGTCAGGACAGCCAAGATAGTGTGCAACATTTACTCATAAAGCCTGTATCAATTTCGTTTTCAATCTTTATCTTGATATGTATCAAGTACCGGGATCGGTAAGTCGATACTTGACGATAAAAGCAGATAACTGAGTTTTAACATGACCAGCTTACAGCATATAGTGCAGTATTGGAAAGTTCTACCAAAACTTCCGTGAAGTCATGCAATTAGCTATGGGTAGCTGTCTCCAAACAGGGGACACTGGATACGACATGCATCAACGCATCTCCTATTTTGGACAGGCAATTTTGTCTCACGGCAATATGCTTATCAATTGGAAAGGTTCGGAGAAGGAAAACTTGCAGTCAAAAATGGTCTTGCAAGGAAGGATTCGGGTTCTCTACAGTGCATTCAAATTAATCGGACAGGGGAAAGTAATGCTCCTAGCCAGTAGTACATTCACTATGGACCAAGGGTCGGAGCGACCAGCCCCTTCCCATGAGCACTTTCCTGTTCTTCCGAAATAGATGCCGTCGTGGTTATGTTCTCAATCTCGCGATCAGATTGGACCGGCAAAGCATGAGCTTGTACTCGGACCTTGTCTTCTCCACTCGTACTCGCGGATGGAGTAGCTGGAACCGAGAGAGATGAACCCGGCATGGCAGCAGCAGCAGGCCTGGGTGTCGGTGGCAGAGAGTTTGGAGGTTCAACCATCGAAGGGTGAAGCGTTTCACCTGATTTGACTTCGATGGTGTAGCTCTTGATCTTTCTCGATGGAAGTCGTGCCATGCGATCGACGATGTTAACAGGCCATGGCGCTGTGACAGGACCATCCCTTTCAACGATACTTTCTTCTCTCGGCAGCTTGAAGGATAAGTTCTTCTTCAAGACCACTGGGACTGGGACGTCAAAGGTATCATCTTTCACCTCTTCTCCTTTCTCTGGGTCCGAAGTTGCTTGCTCGACTGCACTGTCGGGTTCAGCTCCTGGATCAGTCACAGGTACATCAGACTTGGATTTCGGCATCTTCGGAGTCCTCGGGGTTTTAGGAGTCTTGGGAGTGTCGGGATGGAGATGGAATTTGTGCCCGTGAAGAATACTGTGATGAATTGAATGATCATCATGATCAGTAGTATCTATTTCAAGCCTGGATCCGTGGTGAGAACTTGCATCAGAGTTTCCATGATGAAGGTGCAGATGAATGTGCTCAAATCCCTTTTCAATAATGTGTTCAGATTTGTGGTTTTCCTGCCGCAGTTTTCTCCGAGTCTCCTTGGCTTTGGAGCGCCAGCCCTGAATGGCGTTTGATACGGGTATATCAAAGATGGCTTTCTTATAGTGGGAGCCCATCTGCAGCAGACAGAATTCAACATTGTCAGTGTTTGGTCCTTCTATTTTTGTCTTAGGAATATCAACTTACAAGCAGGGTACCAAAATATATTTGCAAGTCTCTTCATCGCCGCCTCATCGAAATTTATATCGAGTAGATCATCACAGATTGCGTGAACTTGCATGCCTGTGCGAAGAGAGAGAAACACACCTGAGAAACAAGTGCGTAGAGGGGTAATGTGCTGTAGCTGCACAAAACCTGAGCGAGGATTCTGCAGTTTTCCGAAAAAAATTATCAGTTTATGCAGATGCCTTTAGAGAGTAAGTATCTTTTTATTCCATCGAGTCCTATGATATGTACAGAAATCTCATATTAGCAATAGAAGTCCAAACACTCCACTGCATTTTATTTCTTGCATTCCATTCAGTAGAGCTCATCTGTTGCAAACGTTATCTAGTGCATCTGCAGCAGATTCTTCATGTCAATTTATCGTCGCGCTATGATCATATCTTCCTAGATATCATGAATGTTCATTTGTACCGAGAATCTTATCTTACCCCACAATAACGCGAGTTATAATGAAGCCATGTTTGTTGAAGTAACATGAATTGAACCCGAAAGTCGTCTGCCCAAAGTAAGACATTGGAAAAGTTAAAAGATCACTTCAATGACTGAATGTTCTAAATGAATATTGCACCACCCAGTGCTATCTTACAGATACTGTGGTGTAGATTCCCTAACTCTTTAGATCTAATGCAGTGCACTCAGATTAGCAACTTAAGCTTCCAGATGTTTGACGCGAGCACATAGATTTCTAAGAGCTACTGCTTTGTAACAATTCATGACAGCTTCACTCAGTCAGTTAAGTAGAACGTACCACTAACCATATGCAAAAGGCCAGTTCAAAGGCATTCTGCAACAAACACATTCTTCTTGTAAATGATCTCTTCAATAAGTTCTGGAATGTACAAAGATTTACTAGTGGATTTACTAGTAACATGCTCTTCGATACCATTGCTCACACACAACTACTGCATTTCAAGTTTAGCACTTATAGCCCGACTGTGGTGTTTCACAATAACTGACAAGAGCTATATGATTCGAATTACCTGAAAAAGAACAAAGTGAATCAAGTACAAAAGCACATGCGGGTTATTGAACCAAAACAGTTCGTCCCTGGGCTTTACAAGATCGCCAATTATACCGTGGGAGTGTGCTGTTTCCATGGCCAGCTGAGTAATAATATGCTGAAGTTTCGTACCAATGACCATGTTGATCTGTACAGAAACTGGTTATCAATTTCGCTCGACAATGTACCTACTGATGTCCACTTTTTAAGTCTACGATCAACATGAGACCATTAAGCATGAAATACTTGGTCATAGAGGTGTTCACGGAATCAAAGGTTGTCGATCTACAACTTACCACAACTGGTATAAAAGACATCCAGAAATATGCGTACCAACCTGCACAGCATCGAGATGACGACTGAGGTGAGGTATCCTAATTCTTGAGCACCTTCAAAGTCTGACAGGAACCTGAAATCAAGTCCAATTCATCATTCATCTTCATGTTGATAATATGACGTGCAAGGTTATCTTGAACTGAGCTCAACTAATGAATCAATGACATAGAAGCAGCAAACAACAATTCTCGAGTAACTTGTTCTCGGTAGTGAAACCAACGGGGAACATGACATAAACTAAGCTCGATACCAACATATAACGTACTTAGGATTTATGAAACCGGCTGCAACTAAATTCTTGAATCATCAAAGACACTCAACTACCAGTCAGCATAGTCCGATTTGATAATAATAATAATAGCGAGATTTTCCTGACATGACAGTTCACATTTTAACTGTTTCAGAAGGAACATAATCATTGTTTATCCTCGAAATTTAGAAGGATGGAAGGAGAAATTGATTCCATCGGAGAATTAAGTACAATCTGCGATAGAAAGTTGATGACAGGTTAATTGTTACAAATGCTCTTTACTTCGAAATAAAAATGCATGGTTGATTCTTAGTCAGATCCCGCACTGACGTGGTGAATTGTGCGTGGAAAACATTTTCTTACCATGAACATTGAGAATCATGAAGAAGATCACGAAAACCCACAAATAGCCACTGTACAGATCAAACATAACCATCTATTATAATAAGTGAACCACATTGTTTAGATCTGAAGCTAAGTCAAAGGTTAATATTTTGTAAAGGTCACAAAAGCTGTAAACATTGCAACTCATTCACATGTGGCCGTTTTGACTGTTGATGACTAGCGAGGGTGAAAATTGGCACCTGATTCCAATAACAGTCTTCAAGTCATCTTCCAAGGATCGCATCATATATTTGTAGAAGTTCAGCTTCAACGGTGCATTGTGATTCTGTCATTTAAGAACAAAATATCGGTTTAGAATTCTGAGCAAGTTAGATGGGAGATGAAAACTGAAGCACGGACTCAAATAGAAAATGAACACCTGAAAAATCAGTACTCGGTTCTAAAACTTGCCAAAAGAGCTTAAATATTATTCTTGTGCCGTCATGGCCAGAAGTAAACCTTGATAAACCCCAGACGAAGAGTGAGATAATCTGATTTAGTCACTGATCTGCCAAACTGACGAAGGAAACTCATCTGTATGCACATCAAAAGTTTCAGGTGAAAAAACCAAAACTGCAGCGTTGCCTAAATTTATAATTCTAGGAATCGAAATCAAGGACTATTCAGTGGAAATATTCAGATCAAATTCAAAGTCAATTTCTTCCAAAGGCTACAGTTGCCTCTCCATCGATTCTGAATGCTTTGATTAGAGTCTGTTCCTGCGTATGCAAAAAAAAGCTAATTGTAAAGGAAGTCTTCGAAGAAGATGTTGCATCAAGGGGAGACTAGAAGAGAGTTTTGCTTACAATCCAGCTTCCTGTGAAGGTCGTGGACCATGCAGTACTGGTGCGAGATGCCACGAATGTGCTCTGACGAGTAAATGCCATCTTCTTAAAAGTGGATTCGTTGAATGACTTCTTTATTTCTGTAGAACACAAGCGAAAACCATCGTAGTAGTCAAATCGAATGAACAGCCATCTCATATTTAAAATTGTTAATCCACAACAAACAGAGAACGTACATTCGTAGCACAAAAGCTTTCTTTCTTGGAAATTTCAAGTTCTCAATCCGTGCGTTTTATTGGGGAATGAAACACTCAAAGAAGCATGAAGTTCGCTTTATCAGAAGCATATTCGATGTTTCAAAGCACTCTTTCAAGTTGCTGTGGCTTTCAAATAAATAGAACAGCTTGTTTTATCTATTTATAACAGTGCACGAAAGCAATGACTAAAAACATTGAAATCATACTCACCATCAGTGTAGTTGTAGTTGTCAACACATGTTTCTGCCTCCCACCTTTTCCAGCTTCTTAACTGTTTCCAGTTCACAAACTAACGTCAGAAAATGTTATAAAGTCAGCCAGAGGAAACAACTTCAAACCTTTTTTTCCTTTTTCATAACCCAATTTCACATCGTACCTTATACCCGCTTCGGTTGACATGATCGAACTCTTATCCAGTACTTATCAAACCTACATTCTTGAGCCAAAAATACTCCAGACTGACTTTCAGATCTAGCCGAATTAGCTCCATGAACTCTTAAACTGTAAAGAACAGAGCAGACCTGGGTGAACCCAAAAAGCATTGTGAAGCAACTGTAGAATACGTGAACCACAGCCATGACGAATATAAATATATGGAGCTGATGCAGACTTTCAGTAGATAGAACTGGAACATGGCCCTGCGTTCACCACCGTTTCTTCAGTAACTGTATTCACTTTCTGCCTCAAACGCAATGGTTGTTGATATATTCGAGCCTCACCGTGCTCTAAGGTAATTAAGACAACCATCATGGCTCGATACAACGAGATGGTCTGGATGTCTATAGCTTACCGGTGAGCATAAGTGATGAGTGCTTATTCCAGACAATATTCGTCTTGGATGCGTCACATACTCATCCATATCAAATGGAGGTACTTCGCGTGCAAGCATGCGGGAACTGACGCTTGAATCATGATCGACCAGAAGGGTTCGTATGTGGTGAGGAATGGGGACTTGCTCAGCAGGATCTGATGATAAAGGTGTATTGAACTCAGGTGGCCTTTCTGGTCCAGGAGATTCATTAAACCCGCCGTTCCCAGTCATGGCTTCTGTACTTTGATCGAAATGGCACGGCAGCATATGATCAGCCCAGGAATCTGGCATGCAGAGCCTCGAGATGGGATTCTGAGCAGCTGTCAGAAGCAGTGAGATGAATCCCAACAGCATCAGTTCTGCAGTCGAGGCACGTGCACGTCAGTCAGCGTTAAGACCAGCAATCTACCTGCAAACAAAGTTATCACGCTCACGCAAGTTCGTTTCATTTCTCGAGTGAATCATTGTGAATGCCGTCAGCATTTGATAGGCGCTGGAGATACAATAGACAGATAGAAAATTCCTGAAATGTCTCACCTTCTTTCATCTTTTCTAAAGCCTCGTTCAAAGGTTTCTGATGCCTCTTAACAAGCCACTGCCAGGATCCAACCACACCATGCACAAAATCAGTGTTTTAACGTTCAAGCGATCGTTTCGAGCTGTAGAACGATGAAACTACTAGGTAACACAGTGCTCGTGCGTTTGGAGCAGCGTGAAGTGCATAGTCGAGGAAAAGGTCAAGGGAGTACGTTTCCGAGTTTCTGAAGTCCTCGTTGCATGAGTAGGGATAGTGCGATGAAAACGACACAGACTAAACCGACGGCCCACGTCGGTGTATGCTCCAAGGCGTAGCTCTCGTTGGGAACAAGCATCTGATCCAGGCCCCCCTCTGTCATCTCTCTCTCTTCAGACGAAGATCGAGGACGCTGAAGGCGGACTACACTGTTGAATTTAGCTTGCCTCGTTCAATGTGCTAAAGAAGAGGAGTCTATCGTATTCAGCTTCATGTCCTCTCTATGCTGAGTTCGTAAAATGGGAGCTAGAATCTGGTAACGCAACCTAGACTGGAAGTCTCGGCTGGATATCTGTCATGAGCAATTGCAGTGTATCTGGGAGTTTCCACTCCACCCTCACTTCCAATATGTGTACTTCAAGCTCCGACTTGAACTTCAATTTTCGTCTACGATTTACACAACAATCTGTCTTAAAAGGCCTGTGGATATGATACGCATTACCACGAGGAGCGTGTCAATTCTCCTATCCGCGTAAACCTGCAGATAGGCGAATTCGGCATGTTATTGAGATGGTAATTTGTGCTTATCTTAGTGGATAGATACAGCACTTTGAGCTATGTAGCCAACAAACGAAATCATGCCATCCAACTTCCGACATGTCCAACTGGACTCAGGAGAAATCAACAACTTTTGTATATAAAAAGGAAATTATTACCAGCTACGTGATCTTTGTGATAAAGATCGGATCGTGCTGATTACTCTGTCAATCTCATAAACCGGAAAACTACCGAAGTAGTCAGGATCAGTCATTAGCTTATCTAGCCACAGAGCATTCGTGACGAAGGTCAATGGTTGTACTCGAAAGTGTAGGGTCAACAACGCAGCTGTGATAGAGGAAGCAAGAGTCTCGCAGCTGGCCGTCGATGCTGCAGCTTGCCCCTCCGCCGCCTGCGTGAAACCAAGTTCTTTGAGTTCACGTCTCGATTTCGACAGTTTCGATTTGATCTTTGACCTTCGCGCTTGTGGACTTCCCCTTGTCTGTCGTTTCATTCATTCCTTTTGATCGTACACTTATGGATTTCCTTAATTTTCGGTCCCGGAATTGAGCCACAGCTGCCACACCTTTCCTTTCTCCCACACAAAGGATGGGGCACTCTCTGGAAGCATAGGCTTACAGGTGGAGTCCTGTACCTGAGGGACTGGAAACTTCAAGACCTTGACTTGGAAGGCGAGCGGTTGCCATTCTGTCAAACACATGGATATCGCTCACGGTTTCCAGGTTAGAAAAATCGAACCAGAAGGAGTGAAAATGAGCTCCTTCCATGACAATGTCAACAGCTTTCCGTGCCTTTGCGCCTCCTTATGTAACGGAGGAGATCGTTTGACTCTACAGATTCAGAGGGCAACATTCTTCCCTTGGCAAAGAAAGGACCAGCGAGGTAAAACCAAGTTCTGGTTGAGCTACTGTGGTTGTGGTAGCTGGCGGTTTCCATGATCGGAGCAGGAAAGCACGGCATGTTTGTTAGAGTTTGTTAGATTAGTTCGAAAGACTTATTGAATATGCCCGAGTCTCCATGCGTAAGGAACTGCGACTGTTGCAAAATCGTCTCGCAGTAATGCCCGTTGCAGTAAATGTCCGCAGAAATCCAGAGCACCAGATGAAACCTGCTGTATCCCAAGGACGATAACTGGGATCTCTGCTCCGAGTGGCGATTCAGTCCAGAAGAGAGCTGTTCTTAGAAGCTACAATGCAGTTTCTTGTGTTGCCATGGATTCTGTTCGAAGAGATAGATTTCGTGAAATACTCACTCACTGACCTCACTGTAAGGAAAATAATACATTTGTTGACATTGTTATACTTCGATGTAAATTTTACATAGTCACAGGAAAAACCTCAGAACTCAACGATGCTTACGACACTCCAGGGTTGGAATAAGACTCGTATTCCACATATAGAAAGATAATATGATAATGCACGAATTCAATAAAATTAGAAACTTCCTATTAATACTCAAGGTACTAATATCATATTCCAGATTTCAAATTTTACGCGTAGCTTAAGATATCGTGCTGGAGCTTTCTTTTATTTCTTAAAGTTTCATAACAAACCTACATTTAGGATAGTGCGAGGTAACCTGTACGTGAAAATTGACAGCTTGACAATGTTTAACACAGATTGACACTGTGATGATCACTGCGGGTTGGTGTAAAGCTAGAGGATTGGATGTTCGATGTGCTTGAACACAAGATCTTACAATCATTCGATCAGGCAGTTCGCGAAGTGCTCTTCATACGACGTGTAGATTAGGAGTTTTCGAAGTGAAGGCAAGAGATTCTAAGATTTAAGCATGTAGATTTCAAGAGATCAAACTGATCTCTTTAAATGCGTCCATAAGACAAGCGCATCAAAGGTCATATTCTATCCACTTATGTGATCTCAAATGTCTCACTAGTTAATAAATTCACTTACTTTCCTGCTTGCATCTGTCAGTGCTGATAGCATTCTCAACGAAAGTTTTCTGAAGACAATTTCTGTTTACCAGTCCAAAATGGTGTATCTGATCTACGCTGTCTTATTTCCTAGACAAACTGAAAGTATATAGATCACATAACTTTATTTCACTTCACTTATCATAAGTAATTCGAGGGAAGCGATTCTGCAGATATGGATTTGATTGTGTGGTACTGGCATTAAAAAATCAACGCCATGCAGTTCTGGATCGGACTGTCTGCCATTCCTCACATGGACCGTAGCCACATTCACTGTTCGGATTGTGAACTCCCCTGGAGAACCTCCATACAGGCAGCCTTCGATATCATATCAAACATTATTTTCGTTCACTGGGCTCGGGGCGTTAAAGTGGCCCACCGAGCACTTAAGTATTATTTTTCAGTCTACTATACCAAATATCGATATATGCAGCTGACAGCAATCAGTCTACATCGAAAATAGATAAGTTCCTCAGTCTTGCTTGTATAATATCTTTCTAGCTGGGTAAGATCCCTGACTGCAAATCAACCAGTATATGGACCCACGTGATATCCTCATTCATTTTTCTGCCTACGACATGAGTACTTGAAATTGAAAGGAAGCTCTAGACTATTCTCGGCAGCTTAAGAAATCGAAGTCTACTCTGAACATCCTCGGTCGTAATTTGCTCTGTGATAGACCAAATTAGGAAGCATTGTTACAATCTCGTGATAAACGGAAAAATGCTTGTTTGTAAATCACTCGGATACCTGGTCGGAAATTAGACCTCAATTCGAAGACATGGTAATTAGGACTGTTCCCAAAACATGTGTTACAGGTGTGTTATTCGAGGTAGAGAAGGTTGAAAATCGCGTATGAAATCTAGTGAGTGTAATGATGAGTTGAATTGTGTCTTCATTCATACATGATCCGACAGCGAGAACCACTGATGATGAGGTCGTCGACTTCAGCTGTGGTCTTTGCAGGCATCGCATTTGCTTGCTTGGTTTATATCACCGTTGCAGAACAGTCTGAAATGAACGAGGGGCATATGATGGCAGGTACTGCCTACGATTGTGGGCTTCAGGATTTTCCGCAGAATGATCACATGTCTCTTCAAGCCGTGAGTGACTGTATTGAGGCTCTGATAGAAGTGCCTATGGACGAAAAGACAGGTTCAGCATAAGTCAAGAATCCTGATAAGGTTGTATACTGGAAATTTTGACTTGACCTTGTAAAATCTCTTGTTCTATTTTTAAACGCCAGAATTGCCCAAATTCAAAGACACAAAGACGACCATAGGAAATTTCGAGCACGCAGGCAAGGGGGAAGGCGGGGGAGGAGAAAGTTAGCAATGCATGCTCCCTAATGCATGCATCCCCTGAGTGCATTTGCTGGTGACCTGCGTATCTCGAAACCCGTGCGCTTCTAGGCGCTCAAATTTTTGGTCCTTGGAAGTTAGCTTGGAGAGCTAGTTGCGTGCAAAAGGTTTCCAAAAATTTGTAGTTCGAAGTCAGCACGAGAGCAAGTTCAAAGTCAGCAGTTAGCATGAGATCAAGTTGCGCGCTAAAGGTTATCCAAAATTATGGTAGTTCAAAGTCAGCAGTAGAGCAAGTTGCACACGAAAGATAAGAAGTGATAAAAATACAGCTAGTTTACATCTCAATTATTATTTTTCACTCTCCTATCATTTTTGTAACATATTTGTAACATAACAGTGAGTTTTTTTTTGCTGCAGAATAAGGAACCAATTACAATTTATATTTTTCTTTGACTCTTTTATTGCATATCAATTCTATAGTATGTATGCTTTTATCATTGTAAGTCTTTTCTTGGCTAGATTAGAAGAGTCCAGGTGCTCTTTTTTTTCATTTCTATAATATTTTTGTTTTGAGCATTGGTTGAAACAGAAGCGTGAACATATGTTTTATATCTTTCTTTCATATCACTTTTGTAACATGTTTATTGTGTGACTTTTCTTGGGTAAAACAAAAATGATTAGTTACATTTGGTATCTTACTTTTTTTTGTTTCATAACATGTCTAAAACATGTTTGTTTTGATAGTTGTGTGATTTTCTTGGGTGGGATAGAGAGATCTAAGTATATATTATTATTTTTTCTATTTTCTACTTCATATTATTTTTACAGCTTGTTTGTCTTTTCTTGGTTGAAAAAAATGGTTCAGGTAAATTTCACAATAAAATTTCAAGTATTATGGATAAGAAGTAATTTGAAACGAAAAAACGATTATAGACAAGCACTAGGACGAAAAATAGTAAAATTACAATGTTAATACCAGAATTTGAGGAGAAAACTTTCCCAGAATTTAGGTGGCCTGCTCTTCAGGAATGTCAGCCTGTATCCATCCAGACAACAAGGCTCCTGCTTGACAACTATTGTCTTCGTGCAGTTAATGCAACTTCTGCCATCGGCATCTGCTCGCTGATGCACGTGACCACTAGTACTTTCACTTGATAAAACAAGTCAATGAAAATGCTCATTTCTGGCTCTCCCACGACAAAGCTTTACTCAATAAGCAGATGAATATGGACAGAAAATAGGAGCTTGATTGTGTGCACCACATGCTGACGCTGCGAGATCAGCGGTCAGGAGTTCTGACAACCAGAGTACAAAATATGTCAGGTTCTACGCTTACAATCCAATGCTTCTGGATAATCCTCTGAGATTCGAAAGCTCAACGCTCAACTCAAGCTCAACGCAGCTTAATAAAAGATTTCAAACCTAGGATACAACTTCTGGAAATGGATAGTATTAAGTTTAAGGCGTCAATTTTGCCAGAGAGTTATGGACTCCTCTTCTCGTGACAAGTACAAGACTTTTTGTATGGACCATTTTCTCGAGTTGTGCGTGTCATCTTTGCAGTGCCATTTTAATCTTCTCTTATCTTTCCAATTTTATATGTTATGTTACGTTATTTTATACAATATGTTATTATGTCCCCGAAGGGACATCCGGTATGAAAGGCTTGAAGCTCTTGAGAACGGACATATAAACGATTGACATGGGTCTCCCAGGACAATCACGATCTAAAGGATCATCATATGAAGAT